TTATTATTTATCTTTTTATCGGCCAAAAATTGAGTTTTCTTGTGCATGTGTTTTTGAATATTTTACATAGTATATATATAGAAAGAGAGAGAGAGAGGGAGATGTGTAGTTATAGATACAAATTTGTTAAAATTTTCACACGACTTTTTTATCTTCAAGTTTCTCTTCCCTCCAATCATAAATCTAACCATCTCTAAAAAACTTCCACATACCCACTTGTTTCTCCATTTTTCCCACTTATCCAACTAATATGAAAGATTCCCTCAATTCATTTATTTATTCTCACACCACTTCACGGTTTTATTCATTTCAATATTTCATAACTTGTCTTCCCATATTTATTACTCATTTTGCTTTCATATTTTGGTGTTTTAAAAAAAGAACGAACTGTCCAATAACATTTATAGCATATTTTCTATCTTAGCATTCTTTCTTTGGTTGAAACACATTTGAAGTTTACAAGGTAGGATACGATGTACAAGTGGTTTGTCTCATTTTAATTTTTGTTATTTCATATTGATAAATATTTTGCTAATATATAATATGATATGACATATATGGCCATCCGATACAAATGATATGATGTGGTATGAACTCTTACTGGTTATAAAGATATGATATGATGGTACAATTTATTTTGATATATGAATGATAAATATTATTCGTGATTGTACTAATATTCATATTCTACTGAGTATTCTCCATACTCACCCCTGTTCCCTACATTATAGATTAGTACGGATCATGTCGGAACGCGTCGGTACGATGGTATGGTTGTGCATCATTTCATGGACAAAAATCTAGACCTTAAGCACGTAACTTGTTTCTTTTAATTTGATTGCAATATACACTTATGTCTAACTGAATTCTCAAACATGTTCGGTAAATTGTAGTTCTCTGCTTTTTGGTAAATTAAGTAGTTTTCATGTTCCTTTAAATCTTAAGTTGTGTTTTAGAATTTTCGTTAGAACTAATATATGGTACAGTATTGTTAAAAGACCATGCATATGTGTTTAACAGTTGTAGAATCCATTGTTGTTCCGTCAATTATATAAAAAGAATAAGTTAACATATATTAAATACACGTATAAATGAATTTGGTGGCGACTTAAATTTTATTAAAATTTTGTGTCATGACCATTTGTATAAGGTGTGATCTATACCACTAGATCATGTCCCAATTTGAAATTGTGCGATCTAATAATCAAAATGGATTGTGCCAAAATATGCAACCATCCCGAAATGATACAAATTGAAATTGATAAATTGGACCTTCCTAATCCCATTTTCTTTTCTTCAAATCAAATCCAAATAATTAAGTTTTAATTCTTTCGTTCTCAAATTTCATGAAAATAATTCTAAAATTATATTTAATTTTATGTGTTCAATATTTTGTATTCGATATCATTTGGTCTAGAAGTATAACTTCGTTTTTTAATAGATTTACATCTTCTACTGAATTGCCCAAGTCAATTAACAGTTAATATGAACGATTAAAACATGTTAATTTTAATGCTTTGTGTAGATCAATCTAATTAGATTTATTATTAGAGTGAGATCTTTATCATAAATGTGAAATATGCTTGGAAGTCAAAATGGCTCGATTACCCATTTGATCCATCTAAAGAAATAATGAAGCCCTTAGTTTAATTCACGTTGATCTATGTTATTTAAAGTTTATTTAAATTACAGGCTGTAAAAAGTAATTTTTTTTTAACTTTTATCGATGATTGCACTCGATTTTGCTATTAAATTTTACTTAGATGCTATAAGTAAATGAAGTGTTTAAATACTATTAGCTATAAGTTGAGAATCAACTCGACAAAAAGAATAAGTCGATAAAAGTGATAAAGATGATAAATACGATTCTTTGTTTAAAAATTCTATTTAGATGTGATTATTCATCGAACAACTACTCCTTATTATCCTCGATCTAAGAAATTTGCTTAACGCAAGATTTGAACTTTGAAAGAAATGATGAATGTTGTGTTAATAAATTTAGAATTACCAGAGAACTTGTGAATGAAGCTATGTACTCTGCCAATTATATTCTTAACAAATTTCTATACCAGAAAGTATGAAATTCTCTATGTGCATGTTAATACATTTATTTGAAATAAAATATTTCATTCAATTTCTAAGATTTTCGAAAATTAAATATATCATGTTAATAATCTCATGAAGTAGAATATGAGTATGTTTGGTCACAATAATTTCAGAGTTCGAGTCTCACTTAAAAATGAGCTACAAATTGAGTTCATTTTAAAAACAATTCCAACATGTATGAGCTATTTTATTTATTTATTGATCTAAAATAATATTAAAAATACAAAATATTTTATTATGTCTTGATTTGTAAAGTTGAAGCTTGACCTTTACGCCTTATACCTTTTAGAACCTTGTAAGAAACATAAATCATCATTATCAAGTGATAGATGGAATGACTAGTTCTTCCCTACTATGGTTGTGGGCAGAAATAGTTAATTCGTAATAAAATTATAAAAGACTATATAAATATATCTTGTACTCCTTCCCTCCCATAAAGATAAATTTGATTTTCTTTTTTGTCTGTCCCAAATTATATGTCACTTTCTCTACTGAAAGAATAGATGACATTTTAGTTTCCTAATATACTCCTATTTATTAATGTTGCTTATTATTAACGAATATGAAATACTCATATTTAAATTATTATTCAATGTAGGGGTATATTAGAAAAAGTCTATGAAAATTTATATTTTCAACTATATTAATTACATTTGGATGGCTATATTGCCACTACAATTTTTATTTGTTACACCACATTTTAATTGTAGTTAAACTCCTTAATCTTTATTCATTATATCAAGTAATTAATGTTTTTTGTTGAATTCTTTTATTTAATCTTTTATTAATTAGTAAATATCGTCCTTAACGATGATTTATCTTAAAATATTTTGTTTTCATGTTCTCAAGTAAGGGGAAAAGTATTTTTTCTTACTTATTTATTCTTTTGAAAATGATGAAAAATAAGTTGTCATATGCTATTTCAACGAACTTTTTAGACATAAACTATTATTAAATAAAAAATGTGTTAATTAATGAAAAGTTGAGTATAAGAATGCCATAAAAAATCGGTAGGGATATAAATGTTATGATGAGTAAAGATTAAGAATCTTAAGTGCATTTGTGGTACAATAAATAAAATTTATGGTGTGAATATGGTTACCCATTACATTTTTTAACCTGTGTGAAGATAGAAACAAGCATATTTTCATGGGGGGCGAAAGGAGTATAAGATTTCTTTTTTAATAAGTAGTGAATTAATGACCCTAATAAATTAATATTTACGTGCTTTGAGGGCTTAGGTGGATTCCATGTCTAATTAAAAGCGTCAACTAATTGGTAATTAATTATTTTTAGGAGGGGATTGATTATAAATGAGTACACTGTACGCATATTTGTAACCATATGCAACTTCTCCAGCTACACCATAGTCCACTAGCCTTGGGCCCTTGGCTAGTCACAAGAGCCCTCAGTAGCCGCAATACATAGCACCAACGAATGCGAACGTGTTGCAATATAATCAAGGGCAAATTCAGGATGTTGCGCCAGCACGGGCGATCGTAATAAAATATTAAGGGCTCGTTTGATGTTTTTTTTTTTTTGGGAAAAAAATGCATTTTGGAATAGTGATTTGATGGAAAATGTTAGCTAAAAATAAAAATAAAAAATTGAATTTGTGTGTAATATATTTTATGAAAGAATGTTTGATCGAAAATAAGAGAAAGAAAAATGTATTCCGAACTAAATGGGAATCAAACAAGGCTTAAAAATAATTATTTTGTTGAAGTTGAACATATATAATTTTGTTATAAGAATAAATCGTACTCACCAAATAACATTATTGCTTTGTATAATTCAAAAGAAGAGCACGGTGTTAGAATTTTTTACAATTGCATTAAAATCACTAAAATATTACATATATTATTTTGTTAAATTTTGTATCACTCTTCAACAAGTGTCATAATGGTCAAACTTTCATTATATCTTAGAGTAGTTCACAGGTTCAATTCTTCACTGACCCTATCCTTATTTCAATGGTTTTTGGTAAAAATTGTATAACTAGAATTTATACAATGAATTGGTGGACAAAAGTTTCGAAACCCGAACATCCAAGAAACACATGCAAGCACTAACCAACATGCAAGGAGGGTTCAATTCTTCACTGGCCCTATCCTTATTTCAATGGTTTTTGGTAAAAATTGTATAACTAGAATTTATACAATGAATTGGTGGACAAAAGTTCCGAAACCTGAACATCCCAGAAACACATGCAAGCACTAACC